AATATCATCTATCCTATACATGACATATACATATATATGCATCAGTATGCTGGCAAATGTTTAACAACTCACTTTCTTTAAAAAGAAATCCTTACAACACGCTTTTAAGTTTAATGTGAATTACTAACATTTTCTCCATCATTTTCTTAAATCTACCAGGATGGGGAACCTGTGGCCTTGAGGCCACATATAGCATTAGAAACAATAATTTTAGAGGATTTGGCAGGGATTCAGCCAAAGTTTTGTTTAAATTGGAAGGTTCTATCACTGTAGAAAAGTTTGAGAACCATTGGTACAGTGGCTACATCATTGTTTGTGGATTCAGGAGGACTTGGGTTCACATCTTTCCTCTGACATTATATGACCCCAGTAAGTCACTTTGTATTTCTGTGTCTCAATTTCCTGGACTTGATGATTGTTAAGGTCCTTTCTAGTCCTCAAATCCTAGGATTTTCTTGCTTGAGAAACTTAGAATCTAATGGTTAGTCCTAATTTGGTTTCTCCCTTCCATCCAGTGTCCTTCTGGTTCATTTATCTCAGGTATTAGTTGGTGAGGATTTAAAAAATTCAAAGAGACCTTATTGTGGAAATTGTTCAAAACAAGTCATAATTAGCAAGATAAGTCTGCTGCTAAAAACGATGCTGCTGCAAAAGCCAACAGACATTTAAAAAAAAAAATTTGGATTACACACAACATCGCTCTTCATTAGAGTAGGTGATTGAGAGTGTACTTAGATTTATTTGTTTTCATAAAGAGGTCCAAACCTTTGAGTTACTTCTCAATTGAAGATAAGTCTGAACTTAGTTCTTAATACTTAATCATATTATCTCTTCTCTCTCTCATCTTTAGTTGTCCTGTTTTGACTGGACCTTTCTCTACTGCCTATAAACATGTTCAGATCTTCCCTAATTTTAAAAATTTGAATTTTCTATAACTACCACAGACCATATGCCCCCAAGTTGTATAGTAGTGGGACCTGCTGAACAATTAGAGGTTTTTTGGTTTTTTGTTTTTGTTTTACTGTGGAACAAAATAATAGTGATAACTAGCATTTATATAGTTTTAAGATTTTGCTTTAAGGTTTGCAAAGCCCTTGACAAGTATCTTATTTTGTCTTCACAACCCCAGGAGGTAGGTGCTCTTATTATTCCCATTTTATAGATGGGGAAACAGGCAGACAGGTTAAGTCTTCCCAGGATCACATAGCTAGTAAGTGTCTGAGGCTAGATTTGAATTTAGGTCTTCCTATCTTCAGGCCTAGCATTCTATCCATTAGGCTACCTGGCTATCCCTTAAATAAACCTTCAAACATCCTTCACTTGATCTTAGAAAACTGGATTTTTATTCTAAAAGTTCCTTTTCTATTAACTTAGAGAAATTATTTTCTTCAAATGGATTCTGGACATATCATCTAATCCTGCTTCTACTATTTTCAGCTATTATTCTATAATTCTCCTCCCCCTTTTTGCTGAACTTATAAAAATACTTCATTTTCCTCCACCCACTTATTTTTCACTTCCCAGAATCTGTTGTCCATCCCCATCACTCTTCAGAAACTGCTACTTCAAAGTCACCAATGACCTATTTTAAAAAATATATATTTTCAGTTCCAAATTCTCTCCCTCCCTCTACCCCCTCCCCACCCACCAATCTGGTGTCCATCCCCTTCACTCTACTGAAACTGCTACTTCAAAGTCACTAATAACCGCTTTTAAAAAAATATTTTCTGTTCTAAATTCTTTCCCTCCCTCCCCTTCTTCCCCACCCACCCATTGAGAAGTCAAGAACCACATTTTTCAAATATACAGGAACTGAGCCAAATTTTGTAAGAATAAGAGTCATTTCCCAATTGATAAATGGTCAAGGGGTTATGAGCAAACAGTTTTCAAAGGGAGAAAGCATATATAAAGTTATATAAAGTGCTCTAAATCGCAAATAATTAGAAAAATTCAAATTAAAACAATCAAGGTACTACTTCACACCCATCATATTGGCTAAGATGACAGAAAAGAAAAATGACAAGCTGGAGGGCATATGGGGAAATAGGTACACTACTATGTTGTTAGTGAAAATATGAACTAGTCCAATCATTATGGAGACTAATGACTACTTAATTTAGAAATGCAATGGCCTGTTCTCACTCATCCTCTTTGACATCTCTACAGTGTTTGACATTACTGATTTTTCCATTCTTTCCACATACATTGGCATCATCCTACTTGAGTTCATCATGGACCTTTTGTCTAATATTTTAATAGTTTTATAACTGGTCTCCCTTTTGTCAGTCTAATTCCCTCTCCAATCCATTTTTCACATAGCTGCCAAAATAATCTTGTTAATGTCTGACCCGGAAGAAGATATTTAAGCTGGAGATGAGAAAATTTAGAGGGGAAAATTATAGCTGTCTTCATTTATTTGAAGGGCTATAGTCTGTTTGACCCTAGAGAGCAGAACCAGGAACAGAAAGGGTGAAAATTGCAAAAAATAAAAAAAAAATAGTGCTTGATGTCAGGAAAAACCTTCCTAACAATAACAGCTGTCCTAAAGTAGAATGCGGAGGTGTTAAGTGCCTCCTCCTTGGAGGTCTTCAAGCAGAGACTGGATAATTACTTGTTGAGTATGTCATAGGGAAGCTTCCAGAAATGAATGAGTTATTCTCTGTGGCTGATGTAGCCCCTCCTAACTCTCTAATCCTGTGTTTCTATGAAATAAATGGCTATTTAACTTGGTGTTTAAGACCTTCCACAATCTTGCTTCAGTATTTCTCTCCCACATTCCTTTATCCAATTCCTCCTTCAGGCACCCAACATTCCAAGGAAATGACTACTGGTTTTTCTTGAACTCATCCTGAACTCTCTTGCCCTCATGCTGCCCCACAGACTGACCCTTAAGTATGGAATACATATACTTATTATCCATATCTTTCAGCATCTTTCTTTTCTTTCAAAGTTCAGATCTAACATCTTTTCTTCCATGAAGTCTTCCCTGATCTCATGCCTGCAACTTTTCCTGACTCAAAGCCTGGCACTTATATCTACTGTACCACTTAAGTGCCTTATTATATATATATATATATATCATATATATATGATTACACCGATTCCATAGAAATATTTTTATCAAAATTTTTTAAATGAATTCATGGACCCCATGTTAAACACTCCTCCTTGAAGACATTAATAAGCAGTAAAGTCCCCATATACACCAAAATATTTATGGCAGCATTTTTTGTGATAGCAAAAAAATTAGTAACATAGTAGATACCCATCAGTTGGGGCTAAGAAAATTGTGATACATGAATGTAATGGAATATTACTGTGCTATAAGAAATGATGTATATGATGGATACAGAGAAGTGTGAGAAAAATCTACACGAACTGAGGCAAAGTGAAGTACGTAGAGCCAAGGAAACAATATATACAATACTTACAACAATGAAAATGGAGAGAACAATTCCATACAAATAAAACAAAAATAATTATAGCAAGATTATAAAAATCAAGATGACTCAAGTGAAAAGATATGAGGATAACCCTCTCTCCTATGCCCACCCCTTCATGGAAGTAGGATCTCCATAGATGTTGTTCATTGTGCATATTTTCAGACTTTTTTGATGTATTGATCAGTTGTGATGATTTTTTTCTCTTCTTTTTACTTTCTAACATTTTTTGTCTTTAAAAATGCTATTTTCTTATGTGGGATGGCTCCCTGGGAGGAGGAAGGGAAGGGGTATTGAGGAAAATGATGATATGAAAAACAAAAGACGTCAATAAAATTTTATTTTTAAAAAGCCCACCTAGTAAGAGGTCATACACATACCGAAGTGGTAGAGCCAAGCTTCTAGACACTTCAAGTTCTAGAACTGAGCATGGGAATTGCAAGAGCAAATGTAATCCACCTTTAAGTTAACCTCTCAGCACAGAAGAGGCATCAACCCTGCAGTAAAGGCTGATATGGGGAGATGGGGTTAAAGGAAGAGATAAATACAAAAGGGAGGGAGGGTAATGGTGGTGGTGGTGGTGGTGCAACAGAACAAAGAGGATCAGGAAGCTGATTCAGGATTTTTCTCCAACCTCCTACACTCTCTTCTAGTGCTTCTGATTGGGAGTGCATCCAGCCTGGCCCACAACTTTGCCCTTCATGGGCAACATTGCTTTGGCTACTGATTATATCCTACAGAACAATTCTTCCTGCCTCTTGTTTCTTTCCCCCCTACCCCTTCAAAACCTTACCATTAGCCTTGCTATGCCATATGTCTGTAAAAGATGAAGAATTAAGAGAAATAGAAAGACTGAAAACAGGGACTGTTTTCTGAAAAAAAATTCTGAAAATAACCTGAAAACAGAGAAAGCTGAAAGAGGTCAGGAGAGGGAGAGGGAAGGCCACTGACTGAGGAGGCTACACTCCACTCTGCCATTTACCAGCTGTATGACTTCAGGCAAATCACTTCACCTCTCTGGGTCTCAATTTCCGTATCTATAAAATGAGGAGGTTGGATTAGCTGGCCTCTGAAGCCCCTTCTGGCTCTTACAATATGACCCTAGGATTCTATGACACACAGCTTAAATGAACATCTGGGTGTGAAATGAGCGATCTGTGTCACTAGAGCTCACCTCATGAACACCATTGAATACTTCTTAGAGCAATTCTTTTCCTTTCCCCTCTGTCTGGCTTTTTGTGTCTCCCTCACCCATCCTTCCTGGATTTCTCCCTTTTCTCTTCTCTATTTAATATTGTCTCTCCCAGTGCTATAATGTGCAATTGTAGTATTGTTTTTAAGAAAACACTTACTTGTCTTTCTTTCGTAACATCCTCCATTCTCAAATAAACATCTGATAAAATAAAAGAAATTCTTTTCTCAAAAAGATTTAACAATTTCTTTTCACTTGAAGAAGACCAGAAAATGACCCTTTCTGAGTGGGTCACCTTCAACAGCTGGGAAGGCTTCTCACCCTGACTTCGAGGAAGTGTGGGTGCTGGGACACAGAGAGTGACTGACCTGCTCCTGGGCTCGAATCAGCTGAGTCATCTGGTAGAGGTACTCATCATCGCTGTCCTTGTTGTACTGCTTTATGGCAAATTGAAGGGTCTCTGGGAAAAATGCATGGTCCTGCTCAATATCAATGAATTTTCTCCATACCTCCCGGTTTTCCTGGGCCTGTATCAACAAGGACAGGGTAGTTAGCAGGAGCAGTGGGATCTGCAAGAGCCTGGCCATTGGTTCTTGCCTTGGAGGATAATGGGACTGGTTTGGTACATGGAGTCTCAGTCCTCTTTGATGCTCTCTCAAATACTAGTTTCCGCTAGTTCCTGGCAAGTTGTATTAAAATGTTTATCTCTTGTGTGGGATCCTCCTCCTTCCTTCTCCTCTCTCCTTTTTTTTGCATCCTTCCCAAAACAAAAACAAAACAGAAGAAAGTAAGTATTAAAGATACAATGTAAAGAAAGAAGCAATCCCTGATGTCAAGAAATTTAAATTCTTTCCCTCCAACACACTTAAGCAAGTAAGAAAGCCCTGGTTTTTTTTTTTTCTGGTGTATCCAACCTATATTTCAACCTTATACTTTTTTTTTCCCCAAAAAAGAGCTACAGAGTCTCTAGAGTTGGAGATCATCCAACTACCTTAAAGACCACTACCCACCCTGGGGAAGCCCATGCTGTTTTGGGATAGCTCTAATTCTTAGATTTCTTATATGATGCTAGAATCTGCTTAGAGCTGGAAGCTTAGACTCTTAGGGGTCATCTGGCCCAACCTCCTCATTTAGCAGATGAGGCAACTGAGGTTTATAAAGGTTGAATAATTTGTGATATGGGCAGCTAGGTGGCAAAATGGATAGGACACTGGGCCTGGAGTCAGAAAGACCAGAGTTCAAATCTGGCCTCAGACACTTACTAGCTGTGTGACCATGGGCAAATCACTTAAGCATGTTTGCCTCAGTTTCCTCATCTGTAAAATGAGAAGGCAATGATAAACCACTCCAGTATCTTTCCCAAGAAAACCCCAAATGGGGTCACAAAGAGTCAGATATGACTGAACAACAACAACAAACTTGTGATAGTCATAGATTTAGCGTCTGAGGCAGAATGTAAATTCAAGACATCCTAAGTCAAAGTTCAGTGTTTTCTATCCACAACACCATGTTGAATGAGGACTCCAACCTCTTTTTCAGGATTGGTCCCTGTTTCAATGGTCCCACCTTCTACCTTAATAGGGCCTAGGATCATGAGAGACGGAAAAAAAGAAACATGAACTTAGAAGCACTGAAACAGCAAAGACCACACTCAACAAGGTGCTTCCATTGTAAAACATATTCAGTCCTGCAGAAGATGGGGGGTAGTAAGATAATTGCTTTACCAACTGTTAATCAGTCAGTCAGTAATGTGCCAGGCACTGTGCTAAGAATGTTTACAAATGTCCCACATAGGTGTTATTATTATCTCCATTTTACAGTTGAGGAAACAAAGCAGACAGAGTTAAAGTGACTTGTCCAGGATCACCCAAATAAATAGTATCTGAGGAAATATTTGAACTTCGGTCTTTCTGACTCTATGGCCAGTGCTCAATCCACTGAGCTACCAATTCATCCTTGTTGGTACTTGTTAGGGTGGAATAGTAGCTTTAAAGAGCACAGAGTAGCACAATGGGAAAAATGTTGGACTTATAATTAGAAAGATCAGGTTTGAACCACTTTAGAAATTTATGAACAGTGTGATGTTGGGCACGTTGGGCACTCTAGGACTCTGTTTCCTCATCTATAAAATAAGGAAGTTGAATTCAATGACCTTTGAGGTCCCTTCTAGGTTCTGATCCTAAAACACTAAGACTGCATCAGAGGAGATGAAACAAACATGGAAACTGCATGTGTCTTTTACTCTAAACTATCCCGTTCCCTAAAACCCCTCCCCCAGGACCCTAGCACTACCATGTTCAGATGTTATCTGTCAATGAATGATTTGGATGAAGAAGAAGAAAATTGTCTTTCCTCACTATCCCTTCCCTGATTCTCTCTGGTTCATAGCGGCCACTTTCAAGTGACCAAAGTGACTTTCAAATCACCCCTATCTAAAGGTCTAGTTCTGTTCAGCAGTTTGAGAAGTCGAGTGACTTTGCCTAGGGCTGAGCTGAGACTATATGAACAAAACTAGCAATAATGACAACATACATCTATGTAGCCTTCAGGGTTTGCAAGGCACTTTGCAAAAATTATCTCATCTGAGCCTTTCAACAAAGCTATGAAGTAGGTATTATGATTCTATTTTATAGTGAGGAAACTGAGCTCAGAAAGGTGATGTTACTTGTCAAGTTAGCAAGTATCTGAGGTAAAATTCAAACCTAGGTTTTCCTGACTCTATGTCCAATGTTCCACCCACAACATCCTGCTGGCTCTGAGGCCAAGGCCAGATGCCAAGCCCCAGGGAAGAATAAGGGACCAAGGCAGGAAACCAGATAGGGAATTGGGCATCTACCCTCTGGGAACCACAAGTATACTGGCAACACCAAACAACTGCTTCCCTTATCTCTGGTATGTGTACTTGTAGAAACGTGGATGAACAATAAATGACCTTAACATTCTGATAGCGTGGAAAATTTTAAGTTTTTTCCCCTGAAAATGTTTCACAATTCTTAAAAGACTTTTATTTTCCTGTGTACTGATATTTTCTACTTTAAAAAAAAAAAGCATTTTGCCCATGAGGGAAAAATAATACCCATTACCCTTTGAGCCCCTGCTACACTGGCCAGTTGCATTTATACTCTTTCTTAGAAGTTGTAACATATTCTCAGACCCCACAAATAGGTCTCTACAGCTTTGAAGAGTACTAAATGTTATGTCTTATATCCTTAATGATAATGTTGGGGTTATCAGCCTTTGACTGGACCATAAAATACATTGTCACAAGTGAAACCTTATGCAGGGTGTAGTAATCCAACTCATAGCATCAATAAGATTTAGAACTGGAAAGGATCTCAGAGATTATACAGTCTAATGGTCCAGGAGTGGGGAACCTGAGGCCTCGAGGCCATATGTAGCCCTCTAGGTCCTCAAGTGTGACCCTTTGACTGAATCTAAGCTTCATAGAACAAATCCCCTGAATAAAAGGATTTGTTCGTAAAACATGTGGCCTCGAAGCCTCAGGTTTCCCACCCCTGGGACTCTAACCCCTCATTTTATCCATGATGAGACTAGTGCCCAAAGATGGTAAATGAATTGCTCAAAGTCATATAGGTCATAAGAAGCAGAGTTAGTGTTTGACTCTAGGCCCTTTAACAATAAACACAGAGCTCTCTGCTATACTGAAATGCCGTTTCAATGAGAGTTGCCAAGCTATATCCTCGTCATACTTCTAGGAACTGACCAATCTGTCCCCACCTCCAACCTTAACATGGATTATACCCTGAAAGATGGCAGACTGGGTTATTAGCCAAACGTTCTTTATTTGCCAAAATAAGTGGCCCTTGATACTTTATTGGAAGTGGGTCTTAGGTTGTAGTAAGAAAGGCCCAGCCAAAATCAATACTTTAAAGACAGACAAATTCTGAAGGTCAGAACATGGAAACAAAGCCAGGCATTGATTATTTGAGAGATTAACATGTGTGGACATGAGTCTAAAGGTAGGTCTGAAACTAGGAAATCAATTTTTAAAGGGGGAAGGGTAGGGTTGAGGAAGCAAGTTCCATTAGTAGCCAAAGTTCAGACTGACTCCAGGATTCATAGTTATCAGTTAACTTTTTTCTTTCTGCTACCTAAAATTGTCCACATTAGTATTTCAAAATTCATTGGTGTTTGAAGCACTAGGAAAAGAACAGAGGCTCTGTCTGGTAAGGAACATATATGTGGCTCTCTGGGACCAATACTTATTTGGTCCCTGGCCAAGTCCCAGACTTGAAATTAGTCTCATCCTGACCCCCAAGGGCCTGCTCTGGAGAGACAATGACATTAATAAGCATTATACCTGAATAGCTGGCAAATCACCTTTGTATTGGTAGAAATGGAGCCCAATATTATTGTTTTCTGCTTCTGTCCATCTGCCTGACCTTGTAAATATCCTAAGGTCTCCTCCAATTACTTTTCCCATGTTTTCTCTACCACCCCACTTTGTTACTCCTCCCTCTTGTCTCTCCTCTATACACTCTCCTTTTTCTCTTCTCCTGATCTCTGGTGTGCATTATCTTTACCCTCATTCATCTGTCTTTTCACACACAGTTTGGGTGCCATTTTCTAAATGAGGTCTCAGGTGTTGCTACTCTCTCTTGAAATTACTTTGCATTACTTTGTACGTACTTATCCACATACATGTTGTTTGCCTTAGCAGAAGAGTGTATGTTCCTTGAGGACAGAGATTATTTCATTTTTGTCTGTTGTACCTGGGAAGCCTAGCACAGTGCTTCGCATAGAGAAGATGCTTGAAAAATGCTTGTTGAATTTAATTGAATTAAATTGAATTTCTCTCCAGGTTAGAATTAGATAATCTGTAAGGTGCCTTCTAGCTTTAAGATCCTATGAATCAAGGGCAGTTACGTGGTGCAATGTATAGCATGCTGACCCTGGAGTCAGGAGGACCTGCATTCAAATCTGGCCTCAGACACTAACTAGCTGTGTGACCCTGGGCAAGTCACTTGATCCTGACTGCATAAAAATAGAAAACCCTATGAGTCAATGTGACCTAATCAAGGCTTATTATTTTAAGTGTCACCTCTGTATCAATGGCATCCAAATATACTGTGTCCATTAGCCTTAATTTCTGTGAAGTTTGCTATCACCACTTAGAAAATTCACAAATTTTGATTGGTTTCAGGTCCCAGTTTCTTAGTCCATGTAATGAGAATGATCATTAATTTGTTCCTGTAGAGCGGCTAAATTTGGTGGATATTTTAGAGGGTTTTTTTAATATTTCAGTTCAAAGATATGGATCTAATAAGGGTGAGGGGTTCAGGTACGGGAGCTGCTCTCCCCATAAGTGATGGTGTTGCCCATATGAAAGCAGTCCTGAAAATTGCCCCTGTGTAAGAAAGGAGGATGAAGATTCCCCAGGAAGCCCCAACTATGAAGAAGCATATGAATTTGTGGGACCAAAACAGGTTTAAGCCTTAGGTAAGCCCCAGACATGAGGTCAGACTCACTCTTGGAGTAACCTGAGAGGGGCTGTTCTTAAAAGACAACTGTAGTATCTCTGGGCATTAAGCAATATGATTAGCAAAACATCTTTCTCTTGGCAGAAATGTTAGTGTATCATTGTTGTATTTTTATTTTGCATATCAGCCTGACCTTATAAAT